GATGGTCAATTGTTCTTCACGGAAAATATATTCCTAATAATCCTTATGAAAATCAAAATTTTAACTATGAGCCCCCTTGTTTTGCAACACATGTACATCATTCACCTAAAGAAAATGATTCAGATGATGTGCATGTTATTTGTCTTGATCATAAAGAGGGGTTATGGGAAAACTAGTAAGTAAATGTTTTATATCACTTAGTAATTTATAATTATTCATTTTGCTCATTTTTATTCCTTTTACTAAATACTTAATCTTGTTGATGATAATCCTAAGTGATTTTAAATATTGTTCAAATTATAGGTGTTTAACTACTAGTGACAAATCTTAGCATAAAACTTTTGGACAACCTACAAGAGTTTCCATTTTGGTTATTGCTTTTGTTGATTAATCATTTGTTTTAGTTTTGTTGTAAAATTATAAGGTATGTGTCATTTTCACTTTGCAGTTGATATAAATAATTAATATTTGTGGTACAATGTTTCTGTTTGAGATATTGGCAAAATGTACAAGTTCCTGTTTTAGAAATATGTAAAATATGGTTTTATATTCTGTGATATGGTTATGTAATACAGGTACAAACAAAAGTATTAAAAAAATATAAAGTTATCCCCTCAATTTTTACTTATAACCAAGGTAAAAATATTGCGTTATTACCTCAGTTTTACTTAAAAACCGAGATTTAATTTTGGTACGCTGTCCAGTTCTAAAAATAATAAAAAGGCAGATGTTGGGGACCGAACCTATGTGCAGAGATAACCTTACCCCTCGGTTATTTAAAAATCGATGGGTAAAGTTGTAAATTTTCATGATGTCCTTTGTTACCTCTCCCTTGTAGTCGAGGTTAAATACATTTTGCGTCTGAGGTAAAATGTGTTTTTTGTAGCAGTGGATCAGCTCGTTTGTTGTTAATGAGCTTTATGAATCCCTAATATTCATGCTCTTGAGTTTTTAGATTCTTGTATTGCAACACTATGAAGTCAAATTTTGATGTTAAAGATCTCATTACCTTCTCAACTACTTGTTGATCAGTTATAACTTTACCACAGATCTTCATTTGATTGATCAAAATAATCAACTTTGAGAAGTTATCACCGATTTTCTTGCTCTCCTCCATTTGTATTACTTTATACCTTTTCCTTAGTGACTACAACTTCACTTGCTTCACTTTCTCTCCACCATCATGATATTTCTCTATATCACATCTTATGCTTCCGTTGACTTTGTGGTCTTTGAGATCTTCTCAAAATGGTAAGAATCTATATTTTGTTGAATGTAGAACAAAACTTTGCACTCCTTCTTTCTAGATTATTTGATGGTGGTTCTTTGGGCATTAGTTAGATATGCACCTAGTTTTTCACACCCTTCTTGCAAGATTTCAAGCACATCATGTGCCCCCCAAACAATCATTTCATCATAGCACTCCATCTTTCCCGATTTCTTCCATCAAGTGTCAAGAAATTGGGTGAGAAGCCACCATATGCGTTCCTCTTTCTTCAATTTCAAAAACCTCTACAATTTTTCTTCACTCTTTGTTTCCCTCTATTTTTCTAACATTCCACTCGTATTTCCCTTATGGATCAATACCAATCCACTTTGATGTTAGAATCAGGCTCTAGATGTCAATTTATGGTGAAGAAAAAGTTGTTACTTGCAAAGCAAGTAACACAGAAATAGGAATGAGAAAAACCAAAAAAAGAGAGAAATATTATTGAAATGAAATTAAGTTTTTACAAACATGTGTTACATCGTTTATATATGATCATACTACTAACTAAATAATTTTTAGTTAATAACCACATACAGAGTTAGCAGTAACCACATGCATAATTAGCAGTAACCACATATTTAAGTATAATTATATATTGAACTATCAGTAACAATATAATGAATTATCAATAACCACATACTGAATTGTCAATAACCTCGTTGAAATGTATGTAATCATATATTGAACTGTCAGTAACCACATACAAAAAATTGAATTACACATTTAATCAACTTAACTAAATATCTAACCAACTTAATTAACTATGTAACTAACTACTAGTTAGTTATAACCCTTGTTTAAAATTATTACATCATTACTTACCCGAATTTTGGCTTCTATAATATACTTTTTCATCTAGTATACTCTTTTTAACAGATTATACTTATTAATTTAAGTTTTTTTTTGTTATTATTTATAAAAAAAACAGATTTTAGTGTTTGGAGATATTTTTATAAATATAGTAAGATTATTATAAAGTGATTGAGATATCCAATCTCGACTTAAAAAATATTGATTAGACTTTATTTAGATTTTGGTTAAACTTTAAATAATCAATGTCTCGAATTGGAAATTGATCCGTTTGATTAAATTTTATTTAAATAGTTGGTAAATCAAAAAGAAAAATGGATGATACATGATATGAATTTTTTTACTCTATCGACCAATAATATGCATCCTGTCAAATCAAATTATATTAAAAATTTTAAATTAATTATATGATAGGATAGAATAATATATTTTTATTAAATATTTGTGTAAAAAAAATTAAACTCATATTTATTTATTTATTTATTAGTTAGACTTTGTCATTTATATTTTGCATTATTTACTTTTTTAATAGTTATTTATTTATTAATTATAAATAATTTTCTAATAGTTATTTATTTATTAATCATGTAATTTATATTTCAACTCTCTGTTTTATCAATTTAACCATTATTCAAATATGTTGTCGTACTTCGGTACAATTTTTACTACAGAAAAATATAAGGGGTTAACAAATTAACAAATTCAATGAGTTTTGCTAAAAATACAAAAATTCAAAAATAAATTCATTAATATGATGGGTAACTAATATTAATGTTTTAAACTCGGATCAGTAAAATATCGGTTCATTAGGTTATTGATCAGACTGCATTGTTGTTGATCTAATATATAAAGTTAAATAAAAGTATTAGCTGACATAAAAATTATAATTATAAAATTTAATAAAAGATTATAATAATCAATAACACAAAATTATTATTATATAGCCATTATTTTATATCTAAAAGTCCCTAAAATATAAGGTTCAACATAAAAATAAAATAAATAATACATAATAAATAAATAAAAACTAATGAATCTTAAACCTTGATCAAAATTATCCAAATGATAAACGCAAAGAAAAAAGTAACATTAAAATTGAATAATGATAACAAGAAAACAAATGAAAGAATAATGATAACAAGAATGCAAATGAAAGAACCCAATTTATTAATAATAATAAAATTGAAAAATAAAAACGTGTTCTACAATCAGAAAAAAGATTGATTATCAGAGTTAAAATTTGAAGTAGATTAAGAGTTCATTTGTTTTGCCTTTTTTTTAAATTATTTTTATAATATAACAAATTTTGTGTAAAAGAAATTTAAAAAGAAATTTTTTATAAAATTTTCAAAATGAAAATTTAATTTGAATAGTTGTTTTTAAAATGTTATTTTATAATTCAAATGACTTTTCATAAAAATGAATATAAGAAAAATTGTAATATTTTGAAAACAGTTTTATAAGTTTATTTTTAAAAATTAAAAAAAAATCATTTTTCAAAGTTGAAACAAATAGACTCTAATGAATGACAGAAAAAAATTTTAGATTATGAAAGTATCATATTTTAAGTTGAGATAAAAAAGAGGAAACATTGTTTTAATTTTGAAATTTTTGTACTTCGTCCAAAATGTGTTAGTAATAAATAGTGCAACTCATGTGTCCAAAACAAACCCACTGATTTATTAGTGTAACCGATGAACCAACTAGATCATATTGATTTTCATTAAGTTAATTGTATATCTTTTAAACTTTTCTATCAGCTCTATCACGCGGTTTGCAGTCTGACAAACCCTAATATTTTAAATTTATTTTTTATAAATTAAAAGATTAATTTTAATATATTTAACAGTTTAAGTTTTTAAAATATATATTTTTCAAAAATAGGTTTTTTATAAAAAAATTCAAAATAATCTAAACATAAATGAATTTTTAATATTAAAAAATAATAAACTGATAAAATAATATTTTATATAATTATGTTTTTAATATATTTTTTATAAATTGTTTTTAACAAAAATGTATATTAAAAAAAGGGAAAGAAACTACCCTAAAAGTTGTAAAAAAGACTAATAATACCAAAACAAAAATTATAACCATCCTACTCCATTTGAGAGATGCAGTGGGCCCAGTGGGCAGTGTATGAATATTGAATAAAACCTAACAAGTTCAGCGTCAGCTGTACTCACAACTTTCTGGAGCAAATTCAATGGTTTCTTTCTACAATCTACAAAAATCACATTAAATGGATCTCCTCATCAATGCTGTGACACTTCAAAATTCCATTTAGATTGAGATGTATCAATTTACAAATTCAGCTGGATATTATTTTTGCAGAGATTGGTTGTTAAGATTTTGTTTTGTATTTTTATAACTCTTTAGGCATTAAGACACGTACCTTTGTTACTTCATTAGATGACAGAACCTTCATTCAATTCAATTCAATGCTACTAAAAACAGTTGTCCATTGTAGCCCAATGCCCCCAATTTAAATACATTATAATTTCTCAATTAACTAATAAATAATCATTCTTCAAGGAAAATATAGAAAATTTATATTTAAAAATGGTAATGTCAGTGTAAAAAAATATTATGCATACATCCAATCAAAATACTTTTAAGTAATTTAAAATTTACATACTACTTGTCGGAATATATGATTTGAGTGTAAAAATAATTTATCCTACCATTGCACCATCCCTTTTCTAAAAAAATTAACACTATATTTTTTTAACTGTGTAGCCACTTTCTGCCTGCAAGGCTAAATAAAAGATTGATTTCATATATTCATTTCATTATTGAAAAATGATAATAAAAGTGTTGCAAAATTACATGATGTTACGTGTGTGTATATATACATATCAATTTAAATAACTAATGCATTGAAACAAAATTTACTGCGCGCAATGACTATAAAAAATGGTTAGATATCGACTGCAGTATTAGCAAATGCTACGCTTTTAGGGAGAGTAAAAGATGCACACAGCATCCATTTTCCAGGTGCAACCGGTCGTACTCGTCGCATTTCAACATTGACTGCCACTTCAAGCAATGCAATTCTTATTCTCTGCATCAAACAGGGATTGTTAGAAGGTATCTTTAATTCAATGTTACAAAAAAGAAAACTCAGCCTAGAAGTTAACTTTTGAGTGATTTGTGAATAGTCTAAACCAAGACTGCGCAGAAATATGCATAATATAATATATCAGCTACCAACCTCATGAAAATCAAATTCTGGATCCTCTGCTTTGGAGAACCCATAAACATGGATCATTGGATAAGTAAATTGCCCATCCTTGGATCTATCTTTGTATATTCCCCGAAATGCATCTATAGGAGAAGCAATTTGCAAAGCATCAAACATTAAATCCAATAATTATATTGCTGAAAAGTTGTGTTAGATTGGAATATAAAACCGTAAAGAAAAAGAGTGGTCCCATCGGGATAGGCTACCTAGAAATTCTGCAGCATCATTCGGCAAGTTCATAACTACTTGTGTAATGGAGTGAGCTTTCTCACTGGCAAACATAGCTTTAATAAACCTTCTTCCATCCATGTTAAAGACCTAGAAGAATAAACATTGTTAGTTGGTAGAAAACTCCATCAAGAAAAATAATGCTGTCACATGATCATTCAAATGCAACTTCTTCCTTGTTTCATCACCAATGTGTGAATACTGAAAAGACGTTAAAGCATAGCATATTCTTTTAATCACTTAGTCGCCCACATTCTATAAAGAATGGGAAAAGACCTGTCTGCAAACAAAAAGAGACACCCGTCCTGTACAACCAGTGTTCCAAAAATTGGACACTTTAAAATTTTCTGCTTCGGTGTTATGCTTTGTGTCAATGCATCATACCTCCAAAATTGGAGAAAAGATAATTCATAGCAATTTTAACCTAACTTAAAAAGCAGATATATATCCAAAAACAAATGTTGACAAAACTAGTTCATGATATTAACCTAGAAACAGTATATGAGAATGGAACATTTAAACCCATTTCCAACATACTTTTTCTTTTCCGTCCAAAAAAAAAAAACATACTTTTTCTTTGTGATTGTTTCATTTCTGAGTAAAAGTTGATAAAACAACTTTGAGAAGATATTCGCTCAACAGAAATCATACCTTAATCTTCTTCTCAAGTTTGTTTAGAACACTATTTCTTTCCAGGTACTCGACTGCGTATGGGTTCAAGTCATTAGCAAAAACACGCTTAACTATCTTTGCTGCAGAGATGGCAAGGGGACCAACTCCAGAAAAAACATCACCTGTCAATTGAACATAAAATGATGTTCATGTTACATGTACAAGCAAGTCATGAATATTTTTCATAATAAATAAACAGAAGAACATTCTTTAACAATTCAGTAACCACAGATACAAATATAAGTTATTGTGAAAAAACATATTGAGAAATAGAAATATGGACATTTTTTCTATTGCACTTAATGGAGGTTCATTAATTCTTGCTTCCGTTTTTATTTAAACTTCCTGCATCAAAATAACTTTTATTTAATTATTACAAATTTTCAATTTTTTATGGAAGGTGTAGGAGTGTTTGTTATTCAACTCTTTAGTTATATGATTATAAAAGATGCTGGCGGAGACTTGGCATTCACTACATAAATCAAGAAAAATGGAATAAGCAACCACCTGGTCAACCCTGGATATCCCAACATCTACAAATCTCAAGAAGTTTCTCTACAATATATGCACATTGATAAAAAAAATTAGAAGCTCAAATGTAGAATACAACAATGATAGTTTAAATACATTTATGCTTCCATTTTAAGTGCAGTCATATTAACTAAATCTTTCTAATATATACAATCTGTTTCTTATATTTCAAAGTTTTCTTCAAATCGAATCGGTGTTTGTATTAGATAAAAGTTAAAAAGTAATTATGCATGAAGGAAATAACAAATTCCAGGCTTCCATTCCAGCACAATATCATGCAAAAAAAAACTAATCTATTTGAACTACTCCAAGAAGCAGACAAAGAGTGCAATGCAAAATTTCATAAAACTTGCTTACTGATTCTGTATGTTTAAATCTATCTATACCAAGCCACAGGCAGGAACCTGTTTGGGCCACCACTAAGAAAATCTTTTTTTCAAGGGAGGGAGTTCAACTACTAGACAATTATCATTTCTATATTCACACCCCCAACAGCAAACAAAACCAAATCTTTACCATGTCATCAGTATGACACAGCAGGTTGCTCAATCCAGTCAAATCCCAGAATCAGCATTTTGAGAGAAATAATTAGACAATGGAAAGTGAGTATATAACACAAGTAGGATAGTATTATAATCTGAACAGGTGGCAGTAGCAAGACACATACAGACAACATCATCTCGTGTAAAACCACTCAATAGTCTCTGTCTTTCGGTGCCCAGCCTAGTGTTCCAGTATCTGCGTAGAAAGGAAAGAAACAAAAGTGATAATTGAGCCTTTTCTCACTTGTAATTTCCACTTCTAGAGTATACTTTGATGTTTCAAAAACAACTACAAAATTGTATTTATTCCAGATTCTATATTCCAGATTCATTGAATGATGTGTCATGAGAACATATGCAATAATCAATATGAGCTTGAAAGGTGCAACGACATTGATTCAGATGAAACTCTCAGAATTCAGGTTGGGCCTAACTCATCCCTACAAAACCGGCTTGTAAGGTGAGGATTGCCCCACTTATAAGCACAAGACAAGCCATATCTCTAAGTAATGTGGGAGTAAATCCACCCCTTCAAAGCTAACACAATGAAGGTGTTAGGGGCTGCAATGAGGCAAGCAAGAGCCGCAATTAAGGTAACTAGGGGCAGACCGCAATTAAGGCGGAAAGTCCAACACACCCCCTCACGCTTGGGCCTCAATGAGCCCAAAGCATGTACAGTGCGGGAAGCCCAACAATAGATTTAGGATAGGCTCTGATACCATCTCAGAATTCGGGTTGGGCCTAACTCATCCCTACAAAACCGGCTTGTAAGGTGAGGATTGCCCCCACTTATAAGCACAACACAAGCCATATCTCTAAGCAATGTGGGGCTAAATCCACCCCTTCAAAGCTAACACAATGAAGGTGTTAGGGGCTGTAATGAGGCAAGCAAGAGCCGCAATTAAGGCGACTAGGGGCAGACCGCAATTAAGGCGGATAGTCCAACAGAAACAATAGAATTCAAGAGGTTAAAACCACCTATCCAGGTTCAACTGAAATATACTCTATCAATCAAAACTGTTGATGTCTTGTAATCATAAATTAATAAATATGAAAAATTCTTTCAATTGATGGATGTCTAAGCATCCAAACTTTCAAAATATTTCTTGTATACTCTTTTTCTTCTTACAGCCTTTCCTTACAAACCTATACAACATGGCAGGGTCTTCTCGTGGTTGTTTTTAGAGCTAAAAAATTATATACATATGGAAAAAGGGATACATAGAATTGTCGGAGATCTCATCCAGATTCCAGAAGCTCTGAGTGCACCACTTTCAACTGATAATATGTAACCATGGAGCTCAGTACTCATCTAAATGCTCAGTTGAAACAACTCATGATTTGCTTAATTATATTTTGAAGGGGCAAAACTATCTTAGCACCGACAAAAGCAAAACACATATGCTATAACAGAGCACTAAGTTGTCAGGGCTCTTAATGATGTCAGGAAAATAGCTGCGTTATCAATGTAAAATGGTGGATTATTGTTGGGTACAAGATATGTATGTGTAGGCCCATTTGTCCTAGGTCGATTTGGAAGTCATCCAAAGAGGAAAATGACAGAAAGGATAGTAAGTTATACGAGAGAGAGAAGAGAAACAATTGAGTTTGTATATAGGGGTTGAAGGGTGGAGAAGAGGTATCCTTGGGGAAATCAGTTTGTATAGTTAAGGACAGAGAATATTATTCTCCTCAGGAGCTTGGCTATGTGGGCATTAGGATATTCATCCTTTTACAGTTATCTTTCCATTACAGAAATAATACATCTTTATTCCAGTATTTGTGTATTTGAATTCATTTCCTTTATATTCTGTAAGTTGCAGTGACACACGTATGCAACAGTTATGGTGGCCAGCCAAATTTTCACCATATAAATATGATGTTATGGCCAATGGCGGAAACATGGAAGATATAGTATGCCTGGCATTGTATGGCAGCTGCCAATGAGTCGCCCATAGCAGCAATTTGACAACAATGGCAGAGAGATGGAGACGACAAGAGCAGTAAGATATAGTGTGACTTTGGAGACAAATATACCAATATACACACAATGACACAAATGAACTAAATTGTAGAAAGAAAATTACTGGTTAGCGGGACATTTTTTTCTTTTATATCATACATGAATGTATCAATACACATCAACGTATTAACTGACCACTAAGCTACTAGTGTACAAGAGTAGAGAAAGAAAGAGATTGAGTCTAAATGAAGGAAAAACTATCAATATTTATATTATAGGACCCCTAGGGATGAACAGAAAAGAAGCCTTGGCACAGCAATTGGAGTTGTTATCACGCGAATAGGTTATGATTTGTGAAATCAACCTATAAAAAATTAACAGATCCGACCCCTAGACTAATATCCTTAATCCATTGCCGGGTATACTCTTTGTATGGTGCGCATGTTTTTTTGGCGAGCCATGGAAGTTGTGCATTTGTGAGGCACCAGCAGTGGCCTTGACAGATATAGCAAGTGAAATTAAAAAATGAGGTGTGTCGCGTAACCCAACTAGGAAAAGACCTTAAACACTTCAAACCTACATGTGGTTTTAGGAAGGTATAATAGCTGCTACATGCTACAATAGAGTTACACAAACACAAATCAGAAAATCCAATTACGATAAAACCTAGACAATATTAAACATACTTCATGAAAGGATAGAGATATAGGTAAGCCTGAGGCAGGCCTTTAAACTGTTTTATATTAGTCACTATGGAAAAAGAGAATACACTGTTGCTAAGTCAACATGAAAGCGAAGTCCGTTCTCAGCTAATGTAGTCACAAGAGAGTGGTTTCCTGCTAAAACCTCGAGCTGCATGGTCCTGTACTCATTATGAATGGAGTCAATCTTGTTCACAACTGTTTGTATCTTTGGTTTATTTTTATCCAGCACAACCTGAATATGAAGGCAGCCTTTTCATGTATTAACACATAAGAATTTGAAATATAATTTTAATATCGCACACTTAACATGGTAACCAACAATATTTCTAAAAGTAGAACCTTTGCTATAAGCTTCTTGTATGGTAAATGTTCCTCTCTCAAATTCAGGTGCGCAATATGACCAACAGTTTCAAAAGCTGTAGGAACAATCATACCCTCAGGCAGCAAGGCCTCCAAGATCTGCAAAAATCATATATGACTGATAATCTTTTATTTTCCATACAACTTGAAGTCCAATAACAAACATCGAGGAAAGAAAAAATCAAGCATGTTTTGAGGCGTCATATACGAATACAAGTTTAGATTTGAAAATTAGTACATATAAACCATCAGTTGGTTAAGATCTGAAATCCAATCTTCAGAAGTTGAGAAAAACTTGGACTTGGCCTAAAAATTTTAAACTAGGAATGAAACAAAAATACCATATTCCTTTGACTTGAAGTACATATTCCAGATAAGTAAATCAAGATAGTCAAAATTATTTTTCATCATGATAGAGAAACAAGTGCATCCTTTGGTATAATATACCTCATTTGCCTGCCAGTAATCATAAAACAGAGTCAATTTGCATCTAACTAGCTCAAAAGTCAAAGTGGTGCTTTTTTCTGCATACTCCTTCAATACAGCCTAGACAGGATGAAAATATGAACAACGTTACAAGTGAACAAATGAAATTTTAGGTGCCAAACAAACATATAGAACAAAATTTCATTATCAGAAAAAAGAAAAGCAAGGATAATGTAATTATTACCATTTGAAATTTAGAGATAGAACATAATAACAAGTAGATATCCAACATTTATGTAATAAAATTTGAAATTAAGGTTGAACTGGCAACTGCTCAACGTAAAAATACACTACATGTATTAGAATCATCATCAATTTCCTATCCCACCTATTTTATTTAGACACAAACATGGTCTAAGTCTAAAATTTACAGGCCAAAACTCAATCCCACCATAATCCACTCTCAAGTAGAACCTGTAACAGCAAAATTTTCCTTGGCTAGTCGCCTAGCCTAGCCAAGTGAGCTGCTGGTATGACAAATGAATATGAATTTTTAATGAAAAAAAAGGCCCTTGCACATTGGTTTATCTACCTTCTAACAGATAGGCCACTTGGTGTAAATGGGTTTTCAGAATAAAAGAAAATTCTAATGGCTCTATCAACAAGTATAAAGTTACTCAGGTGGCAAAAGGTTTTCATGACTTTCATCAACAACCTGTGTCAGGTTATAATAAAACATTTTCAATTGCAATCAAACCTGTCTGTCAGAACAATGCTGATTGTGGATAATCTCATCACTGACCACTTAAACAAACTGAAATCAACAAAGTTTTTCTCAATATAAACTAGAGGTTGAAATTTACATAAGCCAGCCGACAGGATTTCAAACTACAAATAAAAACCTAGTTAGCAAGCTAAAAAAACAATATAGGGCCTAAAACAGCCTCCTAAGACTTGGTGTGACCAGCTCAAAGACAACAGTTACCACGATTATAGCTTTTGAACAAGTTTAATCATTATAACCATCAACGTTTTTCTTCACATTAAAACTAAGCAAAAAGCAAGAAAAACCCTAAGCAATGTAAATCAGAAGTTGAAACATACTAACAGTGAAGCTAAAATAAATACTACGGCAGACAGAAAAATTAACAATAGAAAGTCTATACAAAACGCTTGGAACTGAAAACTCACAGAAAAGGCACCTTTATCGCCTCAGGCAACTCCTCCATACCACGGTCCGCATAGCTTTCATCAAGAAGCAACAGCCTCGTGGAACCCCTCCACTTGCTACTCCCAAACTCTTCACCAAGTAACTTCCTCAAACCCTCATCAGCATCTCCTCCTTCTTCAACAACCTCAACCGCAACAAAACCATTCCTCCCAACACCCTTATTCCCTTTAGCCTCAACCATTTTCCCCACCTCCCCATCCTCATTCTTCTTCCTATTCCTCTTTGGCCTCGAAATCTTCGCCAGGTTCCGAAACTTAACATATCCGCGAGTGTTAAACGTTTTAGCAAGCTTATCACGGTACAACACAGGGCTCAAAACGTCGTCGTCTTCCTCCGCTTGCAATTTCCCCTCTTCTTCGGCGTGAATCGGGTGACCTAATAGTGGAGCAATGTCAGGGTCAATTTCGTCGCCGGGAACACGAGCGATGTTACGGACGCGGGGCCAGTTGAGGAGGTGACCTCGGAGGCGGTTTTCGAGGGCAGAGCATTCGGCGGAAGGGACGCGGAGAGCGGCGAGGTCGAAGACTCGGGTGAAGGTTTCTTCGTGAAGGACGACGTCGTTTTGTGAATGAGGGAATTGGGATTGGGATGGGTTGGTGCCTTTGTGGAGGGAAGGTCCGTAATAGACTGAGGTGGTGGTGGTGGTGGTAGTGCAGAATGTTCTGATGGGGAGAAGAAGAGAAGGTGCGTAGTTAAGAGTGTGAGGGAAGATGAGTATTGATGGAAATGGAAGAAGATGAAGTTGGGGTTTTAGGAATAGGTTGTTCATCATGCTGCTCGCTCGATTACTGCTGCTTTAACAGCTAACCAACTCTTCTAAACATTTCAATGGCAGCGCAGCGGCTAGTGGACTCAAGTATCAACAAGATATAGTCCGAATCATTTTATTTGTATAATTATTAATAGTACTATAAAGCAAGACATAAACTAAACTCTTAGATCAGTCATATAAATCTTAAATTTATTATTTAATAAAATAAATATTTTAAAAATTCATTATAACTTTAAGAACGTATACCTACTTATATTTGAAAGATATTACTAAACACCCTTAATTATAGTTTCATTAAATTTTCATTTACACTGTTTAAAATCCTTTTATGTAATTGACTAAATAATAATTCATCACCCAATCAGAAAAACTCATACTGTCAAGTAGCATAGTTTTTTTGAAAAATTCTAACCATTTCCCTCTCACTTTTGTCTTCCCTCTTTCTCTCTCTTTCTCGTACCCTCTTGAACACTCCATGTTGTTTTGCATAATGCGGCCAATCGAAAAGGAACAATAATATAAATGTATAAGTCACATGTCAGTAAGACGTCATAGTAAGTATTAGATAGTTAGGATAATGACTTTTCTAGAGGAAGGTTTATGTTTTACTCCTTTTTAATAACTCACTAAGATAGTTATCTCATCCCATGTTATTGTTTATTTTTGAAGTATTTAACCATTGAAGAATTGAGGAGTTAACAAAAACATGTTAGTTATTCAATAAAATTTTCAGAATCTAATCACAATTCGAGTTTAAAGCTAGGGTTTTCTTGTTTTATACAATACTTACCAAATGTTACATAAATATATCATTTTAATTGTATAGATGTTATTGGAATAAATCAAAAGTATTTGTGTTTTATAAAGTTTTTCTCAAGGTACTTCAAAAAGAACTTGTTTTGCTTCAAGTTTAATTTCCTTTGTGTAGGTCATTTTACAGTTATAAATAATTTAAGATAAGTTGGTAAAGTTTTAGTGTAAAAATTTCTAACCCCTCAAACATGTTTATGATAATAAATTTCGTTTTAGTTCAAAAACATATCTTGTATCTTGTAATAAACTTTCTTGTTGTACACATTACTTATCGACTATTATATAACTATTTATCAATTTCATTTCAGTTTTAAAGATATTGGAATAAGTTAAAAGTCTTTGTTTTATAATGTTTTTCTCAAAGGATTTCGAAAAGCACTTATTTTGCTTCAAGTTTAATTTTCTTTACGTAGGTCATTTTACAGTTATAAATACTTTAATATAAGTTGTTACAATTATAATGCAAAATTCTAACTCATCAAATATGCTTATGATAATAAATTTTGCTCCAGCTCAGGAACAAACATCTTAGAAGAATTGAACTCATGCCTTAAATCTTCTATATTTTTTTCCAAGGTGAACATCTAAGCCTTATTTAAGGTCCAAAGTCCCAAAGTATTTACTCCTTAGGCACATGTTATAAAAACATCTAGGATTCATGACCTAATTTATTTATTTTTCCAAACATGTTACCACTAGCTCCCTTGCACTTATAACTATCCTCCCTAATACATGATTATAATTACCCTTTTCTTAAAACTATCCTCCCTGAAGTGGATATTCTTGTAAGCATTAAAACACATCTACTTCAATTTTTTGACCATGTTCATTTGGATTTAGGCTTAGATTTCTTATTCTCATTTGCTCTACTCTTATTTCTTCCCTCTTGAGACACTTATGGCGTCTCCACTATATTCCACCTTTAAGTCTTGAAGTTTGGTTGGCTCATTGGTCCTAATAAATAATTGAACCTCCTATAAGATAATACTTTTTGACTTAATACCCTTTTTAGTCTTTTATTTATATTTTTGAGTCCATTTTGTTCCTCTTTCTCTTAAAATGTCCAATTTGATCAATTGTGTTGTCAAACAAAATTAAACAAATCCTTTCTGTTAAATAATAATAAACGACGTTAGACAGAAAAGACGTGGCCGCTGAGGTGGACGCTAGATTGTCCTCTTTAGCATATGTGTCATGTCTTTTTAATACATGACAATGGTCTTGCAATTCAAAATGAGTCTTGACTCTAAGCAACCAAACATGAGTCTCACGCTCCTTCTCATATTTTTTTCAAGATCCAGAACCTCACAATTAATCTCTCACCCTTCAAACCTATAAACCCTTAAACTCTCCTCTCCTTTTTCCCATTGAAAACCAAAACAAACACCCCTTAACCGCACCACAAACCACCAGCCAAAACCACCTTCTTCCTCATCAACTCCTTGAACCGAACAACCACCACATAGAAGCTTCAAAAACCTTCAATCACCATCCCACAACTCCTTAATCTACGCCTCTTCTTCCATCATAAAAAAAATCATAAACCTCCATCTCATTCTCACCTTCAACATACTCCACAGGAAAATCTATCATAAACCACACTAAACCGCATCGCTACTATTTCCAGAACAAGAAAACAATCGTTCGTGTCTACATCCCAACGTCGTCAGGGTTCCTCATAATCAAACATGTGTTTGTGGTAAGAAGTTGATTGAGTGAGCTATAATTAAAACGAAGTGAGGAGGAAGAAAGCATTGAATGTTCCTTTGATTCCGAGCTTCAACCTATGAGATCCAAAATTTTGAACTTCGACCTACAAAATCCATACACAGATTGAAGTTATCTGTCTCCTTTGGTGTTGTATTGACTGTGTTATTTTGATGAGGGTGATTAAAGAAGAATAAAGAGAGAGAAAAATGTTATGGGTTATTAATTTTTGTGTTGATGAATATGTTTATGGGTAACATGTTTCTAGGTAATATGTTTTTGGGTTAATTAATTGAAAGATTGTATTGATAATTTTGTTGTATTTGTTTTATATTGATGTAATTAAAATTTATTTATTTATTTATTTTTGTTTTGGATTTTTATTTAAGTTATAATTTTGTTGTTGGTTTTTTTAAGTTATCAAAAATTAATTTGAATAAAATTTATTATTTTAATTAACATTATTATGTAATTTGAAAAAATATTATAAATTAATTTCTCAATTATTAAATGTATTATTTTAAATTTTAATATTATTTTAATTTTAAGTAATATGTTAAATATGACTTAGTTGGAGCCAAATTGTAATTGTCAAATCATTTTTATGTATTAAAAAGACATGTCACGTATGTTAAAGAGAACAATTCAGTGTCCACTTCAGCTGTCACGTCTTTTCTGTCTAACATTATTTATCATTATTTGATAGAAATGACTTGTTTAATTATGTTTAACAACATAAAGAATTAAATTGAACGTTTTAAAAAAAATGATCAAAATAGATCCAAAAATATAGATAAAGGATATTATGCCTATATTTTTTCTATACAAAAGTGCATCCATATTCAAAAGAGTTAGGTAGCAAACTTAATTAAAATAAAAATTGATACTCTTCATCTAATTTTACTTCAATATTTTAAAAATCATCAATGATTTTGTTGAAATGCATGCAGATTTTTTTTTAAAATAACTATATATTAAATACTATTTACCATTATAACGTATATTTGAAAAAATTATCCAAAGTGGTCATATTTTCAACAGCAGATCGCCATCTCAATTGCCGAAAGGGAACAAATGGAAAATGCAGAAGTGAAATTCATCAGGTGAAATGGCGAATGCTTGGAAGCAATTCGCCAATATGATTGGCGAATGAGGCCAATCAGTTAGGGTTTCGCTGTTCATCCATTTTTGGTTTTATATTTTGATCAGTTTTTAATAAATATAAATATTTGATTTAAATTAATTTCAATTAATGTTTTTAATAAATTTAAATAATTGATTATGTTTTTAATTTCAATTAATGTTTTATTCTACCAATTCATGTGTTTTTAAATACCTTATTTTTAATTAATTTCAATTAATAAATACTTTATTTTTAATTATTAATGTAAAATGAATTCTTATTATATCAAATTGAAATTTGATTAGGATTTAATTTTAATTTTTTTTATAGTTGTTATAAATATTTTAATAAATTGTTTGTGTAAATATTTGAATGGTAATTGTTATTAAATTTATACACATTTTAATAAATATTTTAATTAGATTTTAATAAATATATGTTATTAAATTATGTTGTTTATTTTTCATAATTAATTGAAATTTAAATAACATTAAAAAAATTAAATATAGAAATGTTAAAATAAAATATAGAAATATGGCATTATATTAATTTAGAATCTAATGAAAAGTACAATTACAATTGAACAAAAGAAAAAAAATTAATGACCGGCTCTATCCAAGTGACCACCGGTGCCACATTATGGGGGACGCGCGTTGCGACGAGGTCTACGACGAGGTTGTTGTGGTGTGTCCGGTCTCTGTGTGTTGAGTGTGGAGGAGGGTATGGTTGGGACGGCCCCGACGTATCAGGTAGAGTTTGCATCATCTGACCCCAATAGCCGGGAGGTCCACTGTCAACGGCGCTTCTGTAGTCAAGCCTCATGTCCATGTTTTCAAATGATTGTCGAGGAGGTTGGATGGAGTATGGACGGTATGGTTGTCCGAATGTGTACATGGAGTTGGGTTGGTCTAGGTGTGTTGGTTGATGCGGGGTGTGGTAGTCGAATAATGGATAGTTTGGGGGGTCGTTGGAGGGGTAATTGTAGGGGTAGCTGGAGGGGTAGTTGGAGGGGGTAGGGTCAAATGAGTTGTCTGGGCTATAGGTGGAAGGGGTAGGCTTAAAAGAGGTATCAGGGATGTAATGGTAAGGTGGTTGAGGTTGAGATTGGGTGAGTGGCATGTAAGGTTGTCGTTGTTGATAGGGGGTATTTGTTGGCATGTATGTGTTTTCGTAAGGCTGGTTTTGGGCATTGAACTGTTGTTGTGGGTTTGACGAAGAATCGTGTTCCCTTGGGTCGGCCAAATAGGTTGGCTGGGACAGGAAAGGCTGAGATGTCGTGACAGACCTAAACCAAGTCATATATTGAAAACTTGGCCTAGCCTCGTGCACAATACGGTCGGTTAAGACGTATTGCCTT